GAGTGAGCTAGTAAACTTTTGAAAAATTAAGAGACATGGTACTTAATGAAGCTCCTAACGAATATGTTTCAACTAAAAATATCTTAAGAAATACTGATCATACTGTTGTTACTAAAGAAGTTCTTTCGTACTAATTTTACCAAAAGGAAACGTATTGATAATTACGATTCTGTACCGTACCGTTATAAAAAACAAAAATTTGAATCAATTGATCAATAATTAATTTAATTCTTTTTAAAGTTATTTTCTTCCTTTGATTCCTATCTTTAAGGTCAAAAAGTAAGTAGTTATGTAAACTGAAGACAGATTTTAAAGAGGCAATAGTTGACTAAATAATAAAAAATACAAATATAAAAACAAAAAACATAAAAATAAAACAAAAAAAAACAAAAAGACCCATATGCGAAAATTAGGATTTAAAAAAAACAAAAATATTAAAAGACCCATATACAAAAAAAGACCCATGTGTAGCTTAACCTAAAAGAGGCAAATATAAAAACAATATAAAAGAGGCAAAATTACAATAATCCAATATTTCTATTTTTAGTTTTCAAGTTTAAGATCACAACGATTATTAACTTTTACTCTTATCAAATAACAACAACTACGATATATACATAATAGGCTATATTTTAGCAAATTTAGTGCCGTTTGATTTTTGTTTAAATAAAACAATAAAAAGTTTAAATAATCTAAGATTTTAAGATTAGATAATTAATACTAACGTATATGCAAAAAAAAAATGCTGTATTTTACCAAAAAAACCCATCCTTTTTACCCCGTCCCTTCCTGACAAGCTATTGTTACAACCTGCACGTTGGTGCTTGTTGTTAAAAGTATTTTTGTTCTTTAATAAACAATTTTACTTAACCAATAGTAACAAAGTCCTAAATATTTTTTATAAACATGTATTGCCTTTTACATAAGTATATTTTAAATTCTATTTGAATATAATTTTATTACTTATGATTGCTTATAATAATAAAGGTTATGTGAAGCATTTGTAACGTTAGTATATAGACATGTAGCACAAACAGGGGTGGTTAGACCTAAACATTACTACTAAAGTTGTACTGGGCAAAAAATTATCAATCATTAAAGTTGGACGTTCTTGGTAATGTTCAAAATGATCTATGAATCCAATAGAAAACTAATATTGACTCTTATTTAAGTTGCAACCCTGTTAGCCATCCAAACTCTAGCCTTCTTAACAATTATTAAAAATAGTTTTAATCTTTGACCTTTCTTACATCTAACATCCAAAACTCTAAAATTTAAAATATTTCCCATTCAGGGGTAAGATATTTAGGTTGGTTGATGAGATGAGGAGGATGCGCAATGGTGCCGATGAGACCTAAGTGCTATTGAGGGGTAACCCCCTTCCCTAATTATAATTATGATTTTTTTTTTAATTTTTAAGTGCTGATGTAGACAATGATTAACTTCACAATAATCGATAAGTATGAAATCTGCAATACCGATAATAATATCTGCAAATCTTCATGCCTCATGCCTCGAAATTCCCAACATTTTAATACTTATAATAAGTTGCAACCCTGCCAACCCTCCAAACTATAAACTTTCTAATAATTATGTAAAATAGTTTTAACCTTTTACCCTTCTTATCTTATTTCCTTACAACCTGTTAATTAATGAAAATCTCTTACACCTAACATCCATTAATAATTATAACAAGGATTTTTCTCTTCAACATTAATCTAAATCAATGTCATTTTCCTTGTTTAAGTCCGACCAATAATAATCAAGATACATGCTTGAGTCCTTACGACATCGCATGATTTTTCTCTTCAGCAATAATAGAGATTTAATTCCCTAACACTCCCCCGTTTGAATCTGATCAATAATAGCGGAGATATGTGTAATGCCCTTTTGACTACTTTCAGTATACCGGAAATTGTTAATCCAGATTATTTAAAAAAAAAAATGTGTGAGAATTTTAAACATCATTTAGATTCTAGACCCTTCTTACATCTAAAACACATTCATTATTAAAGGATTTAACCTTCTTGTCTTACATTCTTACAACCTGTTTGATCATAAGTCAAATAAACGAGACCAAGCTAGACGACATACTCTAAATAACGGAGTCGAATAATGTCTCCTTGAAAATCTAATCTAAACAAATCAAATCTAAGGGAGTTTTGAATTTTTTTTACTGAATACTACAGCAATCTGTTCACTATTTATATGTTTAAATCGCCCACACAAAAAACATGATATTCATATCAATATTTAGATACACCTTGACCTTGACTTTGACCTTGACCTTGGCACGTGGGATTCGTGAGGCGTAAAGATGTTTTTCTTTAGATTTTTAAAAATGGAAAATTAGATTTTTTAAAATAGATTTCTTAAAATAGATTTGTTCAAATAGATTTCTTAAAATAGATTTCTAAAAATAGATTTCTTAAAATAGATTTCTTAAAATAGATTTCTAAAAATAGATTTCTTAAAATAGATGTATTAAAATAGATTTCTAAAAATAAATTCCTTAAAAAAGATTTTTTAAAATAGATTTCTTAAAATAGAATTCTTAAAATAGTTCTCTTAAAACAATAATGAAGAGGTTTTACTTTAGATTTTTGAAAATGGATTTCAAAAATTATATTTTTTAAAAGAAGCGTACGTGGAAAGTTCGCGAAACGGGGCCCCCTTGTGTGGGTGGGTCATGTGGGTTGTGTGTGGTCGGTACATGACCTTGAACGCGTGAGTGGGTTGTGTGTGGTCGGTGGCTGAACTTGTCCGCGTGTATACGGGCATGTGGGTCGTCCGTGACCTTGACCTTGGTCTTGACCTTGATGACATTGACCATTACCTTGACCTTGACCTTGGCACGTGGGATCCTTATCTTTCTTATCTTCCTTATCTCTCACTTCCGGTAGGGAAATGGCATAGATTATCTACTATAATATGTATTTTGCCTAATGATTTGATAGTTGTTTTACGATATTGCAGGCAAGTCTTTTTAAAAAATAATAATTTATACCGTGTGTCACTTTTACATACTCATAACAATACCGTTTAGTTTTTCGTTTCCGTAAACATAACATAATTAATTGATTAGAAAAATTTATTTTTCAATTAAGACACTTATTACTTTACTTTTTTTATTCCATTTTTTAAACGAATACACTTAAAATTAATATTTATCGATTATAATTTTTTCACGTGGATATTTTAACATGCTTGTTTACAAAAAAATAGTACGAAAAAGATGGCTGATACTGACGCATGCGCACAAAAAAATATTGTGATGAAAAGCCCTATTAAACCTGTCATCGGCAAAAAAGAACACTGTGTGGCCTATGTCACCTTAGCACAAAGGGTAAAACAATGGCCCATGGAAAGTTTGACGGATGATTACTATATCAGAAGAAACAAAATTATATTTTTGTGTTTTAATTATTATCTGACTATTGAATGTACGGAGAAAATTGTGATTTGTTTTAAAAAATGTCACTAATCATGCAAATGACGTTGCCCTCTAAGTTAACAACACAATACCATTTTTAGGGTTGCTATCCCCTTATTCTGGATTATACCATTCACTCACCTGACAATATCGCGAGCAGAGATAGTGCATGTAATTTTAATAGCAAAAATGAGATAAGTGTTAAATAGTCAATATAATAATTATTACACATAATCTACAATGGAAAATTGTGTTATTAATATCACTGAAACAGTCAAATTAAATTGAAAAAATTATACGGATGCAATTTTGATTTGATAAAAATATATGAGACTGTGATGTCACCAAGTAACTGAGGCTCATCAATTAAATAATTAATGACCCTCTCTCGCCTAATCTTAACATCACCCACAGAACTAGTAACATTAGGATATAAAGCAATTTGAAAAATATGTTAACAAAAACTACAATTCAGACAAACCTGTGTTGTCCATACCGATATCTCAATGTTTATCCAAATATAAAAGATAGGAAAAAATCTCACTTAAATGTTTAATACGCTATTTACGTGTTGGTAAATGTGTGACATTTCCAAGAATTGTTTTTTTGAGATGTTGGTTGCTCTTTCTAATATAGCTACATTTTCATAGTCTATAATATGGTCATTTTTATGCACATGTTTAACCAACGCACAACATTCAGGGTGTAGTCTACAGTCGCTCCTGTGAAATGTTATACGGTCTTTTAAGCATCTAGATGTTTGGCCAATATATGATTTTTGGCATGTACTATAAGGGATACTGTATACCACACCACTCAACGAAGTTATGGGTACCTTATTTTTCAATTTGGAGAACACAGAGGTATTGGTAAGGACAAGTTTTTATGCAATTTTGATATTTTCTATAGATTTAAATAGTTTAGATGTCTTGGGTGTAATTTCCTTAATGTATGGTAACGTTACATATTTGATGTTAATTTGTTGGGATTCATGGTCGGGTGGCACAACATCAGCATTGACATTTGTTACGTTCTGATTCTCGTTGATATTATTTTTTATGTTACTGTTGGTAAAAATGGTTGATGTGTTGAAAACTATCTTGCGTGTTATATTTTTATTTTTAATCAAATGGCTACCTTTACACACCATTATCAATGAGTTGTAAGTTTAACCCTTTTAATCAAATTAACAAATCTTTGAACATCTGTTAATAACTTTTGTAGCTCCTTGAAAATGAGCATAACCATGCTCGATAGCTCGGAATAAATTTAGAAGAGTACACTTGTGAAATATTTTTTTCAAATTCCTCAAAATTTCCTAATTTACTTCCTGACTAGTCGGCAAAGACTAAGCCATAGTTGGAAATCACCTTTGTTAAAAAAGTAAAAAAAAAAATAATAAATTTGGCAATACGTAAATCAAATGTCTGGTTAATTTTGCGGACCACATATTTTGAGAATAAAGTTCGACACAGCAGAATTTTCTGTCGTGCTCCTACTTTTTGTATAAATTGGCTTGTACATCTCTTTCAATTTTTGATACACTTAGCTATTTTGTTTCTTTTAGGGTTCTAATTCCACCAATGAAAATGTTTTATCATTTGGCGAGCTGATAGAAAAGGATGAAGAAAGAGAAAGGCGAACGACTCTTTGCGAAAGAAACAAGCAAATTGTTTTTTCCAATGGAAAAGGGCTGCTTCAAGCTCCTTCCGAAAAAAAATCGTCTGTAATAATTGAAGAAATAAGTACAGTGCACAACGAATTTCAAGAATCATCTAATTCGAACCAAATTGCAGTCCAACGGGGTACCCAGCATCCTAACGAATATAATAACAAAATGATTAGCTCTGGACGTAATAACCAAATTACATTGACGATACAAATTGATAGATATGTTTTGGAAGGAATGTTTTATCTAATGCTTATGACAATAACAATAATTTTATTCACTAAATATGTTTTTACACAGTGGGGTAATGAAATGTACAGTGCAGATTATTTTGTCTATGATGAGATGTAATTTTGACACATGTTTTCACGCCTTTATACTATTTCACTGGCTACAATATAAGTCAGTACTTATGATCCTACTTTTCTTTTACATAATAAATAAACAAAATTTTCATATTTGAATAAATAAAATAACCCATTTATCCCTAGTCCATATAATAACAATGTTCACTAAATTATACTAAAATATCTACTAAACTTATAGGGATATATAAAAAAATAAAATGTTTTCAACCATTTTAGTTATTTACTATAAAAAAACTTTGGTAACGCGAGCCAATGGCAATTTTAGCGGGGATATGTAGAATTGAAATTAAACTTCCAAGGAATATAATAGTATATTACGTTACTAGGAGTAGAAGGCCAACATTATATGTTGAGCCCAGAATTTTGCACAGCTGAGGCGTTAGCCGAAGCTGTGCAAACTGGACGAAACATATGATGGGCCTTCTAATCCGAGTGACATATACTATTTTTTCTTCAAGCATTTAAATAAAAGTATGGAAAAAAAATTTAAATAAAAAAGCTGAAATTAATAGAATATCTGTAAAACTAAATAACAGTTTAAAAAAATTATGTACCTACTTAGTTGCTAAATATCTCTTGTTTGGTGCATTCTTAAGAAAGTTATCAAACTCCTGTTTAGAAAAAACTTTTGACTTCTTCGGTTTGTAATTATCATCTTTTCGTTTTAAGAAGGCAATTAATTTTGAATAGTTTTCAATTTTTACATTATGTTTAATATTTAGTTCTGATTTCAGCATTGAATACTGCAACCACATTGTTGAACTTTTGAATTTTTCAGACAAATTAGTAAAATATGCGATCAGAACATTTTCTGAATAAAAATGTACGTGGTTTTCTTCACTCCATTTCACAAATTTTGTGTAAACTTTCTCCGATTTCGTAGGTATTAAGGTTTCTATCGAAGATTTCGCTATTTCTAGCAATTCGGGAGGTGTTGATTGGATTTCTTCTGACATTTTCTTTTTACTTGAAAAACACAGGTATAACAAACGGGTTGACACTATTTTTTTTATTTTCTAAATCATACACTGACAAACGTCAAATTAAATAACTATTCAAATGACAGTTCCAGCCTACTTGATTGCAACGTTCATAATAAGCCATTTAACATTAGGTTTGTGCCTTAGATAAAAGAGACCAGAGATATAACATACACCGGTTTTCAACCTGCGCAAATGTTGCCAATTTCTAAAGAAGGGTTAACGGAGTGGGGGAACTGGGCGGCGACACGCGGCGACCCGAACTCTGTGATAGGGACCGGACTTTGTTTATTAGCATCATAATGAACTATTAGATTTATTTAAAAGGTGTTTATTCAAATTTTGTATTATGAAATAAAATTAACGTGATTTTTTAATATCAAATAGATGTCACGACATTTTATGTAAAGAGAAGACCTTTTATAGAATATTTCGTTAGCGTTTATTTACTACGGACTTTTCTGCAACAGATTATAGTAAAATGTTGAAATAGAATATATTGTTAATAGAGCAAAAAATGTTACTCACTGTCTACGAGTATTATAAAAATATCATGTTCGCAGGCTAATACTGCAAATCTACCCTTATGAGTTGAACATTATATTTTTTCTACGGCTATTACATATTATTAAAAATTAGTCAAAATGAGAAAATGCTGTTTTATATTGTAACCTCAGAAAAAAGTATATTAAGGCTTCTTTCTTTAGGAATATTAATTATTATAAAGGATGAGTCACATAAAACTCTAGAAATGCATATGTCTGAAACCAGATAACATTTTAAAATTTAAATCTATTAAAAGATGAGTGATTATCAAAATAAATTATCGATCATTGAAAATAATCGATTATTTTCAAACAATTTATTTTTGTCATTTCCTTTAAAATCGACTACTTGATTATCTTTGAAAAATCAAAAATAATCGATTAATTAAAAAGCCAATTAACCGATAAATCAGTGTTTACAAAATATAATAAAAATAGAATTATCGTTTATTTTAAATAATCGATTATTTTCAAATAAACCATTTTTTTTCGTCCATGGAAACAGATTATTCGATAATCTTCAAAAAATCGAAAATATTCGATTAATCAAAAATAATCGATTGATTAAAAAGTCGATTAACTGATAAATCGATTAAAAAAACAGAATGATCGATTATTCTAAATAATCGATAATTCCAAAATAATCGCCTAATCGAAAATAACCAATTAATTAAGAAGCCGATTCTATGATAAATCGATTTTCCAAAAAATAAAACGAATTATCGATTATTTTCTAATAATCCTTTTTTTCATATTTCCTTTGAAATTGATTATTCGATTATCGAAAATAATTGATTATTAAACAGCAGGTTAACCAATAAATCGATAATTTAAAAAAAATAACCAAAATATCGATTATATAAAATAACCGATTATATTCAATCGATTATTTTCATATAATATCTTTGAAAAATCGAAAATAATCAAATAATTAAAAAACCGATTAAACGATAAATCGATTATTTTGAATAAATCTACCTTTTTTTGTATTTCCTTTAAAATCGATTAATACATTATCTTAAAAAAACGAAAATAATTTATTAAAAACAGCGAATAAATCGATTTTCATTAAAAAATATCAGAATTATCAATAAATCGATTATTTTTGTAACCCCTATCCGTCGCTTGCTTTTATCTAAGCATTTAGCTCCAAAATTTAGAGATTCGGATTTTTTGATCCCGTTACCTTTGAAACCGCATTCGATTGTATAATAAATAATAAATATTGCTAAATTTTGGATTTTTTTAGTAAACGAAAATTTTGTGCGAGTTGTTTAGGGGTTTGTAGTGTAACATTTTATTAATGTGACTAAGGGTCGATTAGACCGTTGTATTAAACGAAGTTTAAAATGACATTTTTACATTAACACTGTCATTTTAATCTCCGTTTAACACAACGGTGGAATCGGACCTAACTCCTGTAACTATAGTATTTTTTTTTGCTTATACTAGATCATATCGTGCGTTTTACTTTATTTTAAGACTGAAGATTCAAATGCCACTTTCGATATGACCGCAAATAAGATGAACCTTGAAATTTTAAGTAGGTGATCCTGTATTTCATCTAATATTCTTATAAAAATACCTTACAAAAATAAAATTTAGCTAGCAACTATGATTCTTTACCTCTTATTTATCTACCAAAAATGGCTAAAAACTATATTTAGAAAACATTCTTATAAAACTACTTTTTAAATACAAAATTTCGTTAGCAATAATGCATATTTACTATTTATTTAAATTAAATGTTCAAAATTTTACCCTTTTGTAAATTTATGTAAGTAATATGAAATCTGATTTCTGATGCTTAATATTTATTGAAACCCCTTAATGCGGATCTGAAGTATTCAGCCCAGAGAATCATGGCGCTTTATGTCAAAACGTTAATAAAAATTTACCGCTGAAAACGAATATATTCATAACAGCATTACTTGTATTATAAGTACATACAATTTTTCAAGATACATCGTGACATTTTGAACTTGAAATTGAATAACTAGAACACTTTAAATTGCTAAAATACCAACAAATAAATCAAAAAACAGCTGTCAATGGTGATTAAACTCAGGTGGAGGTGATCGCTGAATGGAAAAATCGGAGTAATTCGGGTGGTGTCGTGCAACAATGATTTTTAATTGGTGGGTTACTTTGGATTAAAATAGACAACATGCGCAGTGTGCAATGTTACATCTTCGGTCTCTTTAATCTAAGGTTTGTGCTTTTTACTTCCCTAGTAAATTAATTCAGAACCAATGAAAATATGAATTAAAAAAAAACAACTATACATAATTATATTTTTTTATTTACACATTTTTATATTTTAACAAAATAATATCTATATATACCTAATGATGTACTAATTAAGTAAAAATATAAATAGTAAATATAAATTCCGAAGATGTAAAATGGTATACTATTTATTATATTTAAAAATCAACTATTTTATAAAGCCGTTTAAATACATATTACACAGAAGAATATAGGAAGAACATACTCTAGACTAAGTATTGTAAAAATGAGTGTCTGTAACATGTGACGGGTATGTTAACCCGCTTCCTAGCTCATGAGCCAGCCTTCATATTTGATGTAGTTGACAACGTTGTCAAGAGGTGCTTCTCTTATATCAGCCGGTGTTATAGCCAATTTTCACCGAACACAAATTTTCTAATAAATAAGAGCGTCAGGCAATCGTAGAGGATATGCTAGATGGTTTCATCTTTTTGTTCGCGCCACCTGCAGAGTGAGGATTCTACAGAGATAACTAGGAGATGTAACTGCTAACAAATATCGTGCGGCCGTGAATAAGACATTCTAAAGGACACAGTAGGGTATAATATCCGCTATTGTCATTATTAGTAAAGTGTATGTATTAAAATATTCGCTCAAGAAAACGATTTACCTCCCACTCTTTTGTCACAAGCTGAACTTTTCACAGATAAAAGCTCATGATAAGGTAACCCTTATTCCGGAGGTAATAAAAAATTAGAGTGTGCAGAAGGGCACTATCATCAAAAATCCAGATTTTGATACCACCGAATAGAGAAAAAAATACTCATTTTTTGGTCAAATGCACAATAAAATCTTTGTAGGGAGTAATTGTTCATACTTATTTAAAAAAAATCATTTGCATTAGCCCTTACGGCCGAAAAAAAATATAAACGTAAATATCTTGGTTGTAGCCCTTCAACAATTTAGTCTTTTTTAAATATACCACTCATTTAACAAAAAACGAAGGCCTAAATGAAAAAAAAAACATTCTTTATAAAATTTTTGCTTATGTGTTGACAAGGTAACTAAACGCCATATTTTTTTGCTTTTGAATTAACAAAGATTTGACAATAAACGATGAGAGATGTCATAGGTTTATGCTGTAATTAATTCTCACCACCAATTTTATCGACTCTCAGTGTATCTTTCTCTTCACCTTCAAACGTAGCATAGCTCTGTTTCTCTCTACGTGCCGCCTGATGTATCACATTATTGATATGGTAGGATTTTTCCTTTTTTTTATTATAAAACTTCTCGTTATGTTCCATTGGGCAATGTGTCATATTGTTATCTGTTTTTACTAAAGAAT